AAGGAAAATGCGATTGTTGTCGATTACTAAGCACAACTTTAACATTTTTTCGATCTGTGCTCATCGCAGATTGGAACGTGGCCACTTGAGTAAGCCAGTTTTGTTTTCCTGTCTTTAGATCTGTCACAAAATCCGCATCGCACTTTTTATTCCAAAACATGGGCTTCTTGTTTCTCCTGTATATTAACGTCAACAATTCCACTTATGAGACACTTTAGTTCTCTTCTTAACGTTGTAATTTCCAGCCTGCATTTTATAAATGGCTCTATTAGTTCAAAGGCCACTGATGTGTTTAGAAACACTCTTTTAACAAGTTTTGGATTGTTGGTGGCGGAAAAGTTGTATAAAACCAATAAATTTTTTCCAGCGTGATCAAGTATGCCACAAAATACCCTCATAGGCCACCTTCTGGTGGATCGTGCAGTGGTGAAAGTGTTGCAGAGTTTGTCAAATGTGTCCGAACCGCCTCTGGTACAATGTTAATCTAAGACTATTATAGGTTTCTTTGTGGTATCATTCACATTATTTGTATAGTGCATAGTAGATAACAATAATACCACTTTTTTCTGCTTAGGAGTAAATGATACCAATGTCTTATTTTGATTAAAAACAAATTTTGATTTACCTTTTCTTCTTCCGGCTAGGAAACTAGAAGGAATTTCCCGCTTATTTTTCTAGAGAACCTATCATAGTTAGTCAATGTTCGGTTAACATATTTTCAAACAACTCCACTGACAAAAACCAATTATCGACAGTAACGTTTCTGCCAGTATCGTGAATACGCTGTGATAGTTTTTTGACGTAGTAAAACGGAACAGGCACATTATTTTTCATGGTAACTTTGCCAACATAAGAAATAGCGGTAATTATATACCAGGTTCACGCGCCATTAATGCATCATTACAAACTTTATACCATACCTGTCAGGTTTGGAAGCCAAACATATTTTGAACAAACAACTGCCTTTATATCCCATTAGCTAATCATCAATTTTACAATATTCATGTGATGTATGTATAATATGCTGTACAGTTGGACACAAATGTTTCCCAAATTTCTCGTGTAGGTGCAAATTTGTCAGTTTGTCTTCGTTGTGCTCCAGTAGCTTTTTCATCAAAACGCAAAGATGATTTCAAAAAATCAAACCTGTTTATCGGTATAGTACTCTAAATTGAATCAGATTCCAGCCCCATCTCCTTTTACTTATAATAAGGTTTATAGACTAGGACAGTTGCAAAATAATAACAGTGCCTCGTCCTTTAAAAATTGAGTTTCAAACAAAAGAAATAGCTCTATCAGAATTACGTAACAAACTTTAATTGTCCAAATAGAAATATCTCAATTTGAAAATTTCTGATGAATATAAACCTCGTCAAAAAGAAAAGTCCGGTGTTCAAGGAATTAGTGGAACGAAAAGCTAAAGGAGAAAACTTGAAAATAAAATTCTTTAATGGTCAATTGCAAATTATTCCTGGTACAACAAAAAAAGACGTGAAGATTTTTCGCTTAACCAAGATAAAACAAAAATTAACAGAACCGAATAAGCTCCTTCAAAAAACTCATAGTAACTTTTTGGAATTGTCATGGTTATAAAAATCTACAAAATTTTATTCTCCAGATATTATTGGTATTGGCGAAACATGGATCTCTACGGAAATTAACCAGCCTCCATCAAAGTTTTTTAAAGACTTTAGTGTAATAAGTGTCTGTGCGGTAAAAGGGAAGTCATTAGATAGAGCCAGTGGTGGGTTGTGCATCTTTTATAGGAAATATGTTAGTGCTAGTGTATTATGTAAAGCTCACGGGTGCTGGTCGATATGTAACCGAATTTGTTTTATTTATTTCGCTTAAATTTCTTTATGGTCGCACTACGAACAGCATTAGTAAACATTACCTACTACTGGACCTATTGTAATTTTTGTTCATTACAATTTTGTTTTAATTTTTTTTTGTGAATATATTATAAAACCTTAACTCGTGCTGTAACTTAGGTTTATAAGTAATAAACGCATTATTATTATTAATATTTTTATTAGCGAATTTCCAAACTTAGGTAACCATAGCTCGTGCAAACTCAAATGTGCCGAACGATGGACGCCACAAAGATACAAAAACCCAAACAAAGCTTTAATTTCTGCGCTATCTGTTGTACTGTGGTAAGACTGCTAAACGTTAGTTGACTCCCACCGTCTTCTAATTTTTTCATTAGAGCGAGCAACAATTGTGTCTATTATATCTTCAGAAAATAGTAGAGACCATACTTCAAGCGGACTTTTTACAGTTTTTGCAGCTCCTTTTGGATCAGGTAAATTACTAACGAGATTTTTTCTCTGGCATTGCCCTAGCTTTTTTGGAATTTCGTTGTTCCATCTATATCCGTTCTTTCTTTTAGTCAATGTGGTTTTCACTTTTTTTGCATTAGACGAACCTGGTGTTCAGTCTCTGATTCCCCGCTTTGATCTGTGTCGGAACATTCTTGTTCTTCTACATAGTCTTCGTCACAAATAGATGCTTTTTCCTCATTTTCCATTTCAAACATTAAACGGTTCATTTCTGCCTCGAGTTCTTTAGTCGTCAAAGGTCGACGCCTTTCACTATCAGAGATTATTGTCGATATTCTGTAGAAAAGACTTTTTTTAATCATATATTGTACCAAAATGAATAAAACTATCTTGCCTCAACACCAAAAAAATCTAGAAATGAAAAAGTCGTACAACACACACTGGGGTCCAGAGAACCCTGGCATTACTTTGCACGCTGGTCACTGAAATACTAAAGCTGGTAAAAGTCTCGCAATATAATGGTGCGATAGTGGAGGCAATATGCCAAATTTACACAACGTTGCCAGATTATATCAGAAGTAGGTAAAGATTGGCATGAATTTATAAACTTGCTGGGGTTTGATAGACCCCGGTGTATATAGCGAAGGTTAAAAACGATTTCTTATTTAGTTCGTTGTGAATTGTGTATAAAATCTACTGTTAATATTGTTTTTTCTTAAGTATCAACTATTTTTTTACACAATAAAAGAAGATCTTCAGGCAACGATATAAGCCACATGTTTTCGAAAAAGCAGGTTCCTGCATTTTAGGAATGTAAAAATTTATATTTCAGCGCAAAGTTGAGTTTAAGCCAATTCGCCTAAAAGTAGCGCCACAATCTCAACGTGTCGTTTTTATTCCATAAAATTTAGGTGAATATTTGTACCCACAATGATATAAGTCACAGTAAAAGAAACATAGCCGATTGGAAAAAATGTACTCTCAAACGTAAATCAGAGTTTTTTTTACTTTTCCTGTGATGATTCCTGTGAAGATTTCGACTCAGACGATAGTTTAAGAGCTCAAGATTACGTGGCTTATATTTTGTAATTTTGTTTTGTTGAATTTTTAAGTTTTGAATGAGTTTTAACATAAAAAAAATAAAGTCGCATGTTTAGGGTTTTGAAAGAAATCATTTTTGTCAATTTTGTTTGTGGCTTGTATCCTTATTAACACGAAAATAATTGTTATTTTTTTATTTTAAGAAACGAACCATGTTGAGGCGCAATGTTCGACCGTTAACACAGAAAATCTAATTCCTAAAGAATCGGCCATCAGGCAATATATTAAATTTTTATAAGAATAATAAGCGACTAAATGCAGATTCCGTATTTAAATAAATTAATAATCTTTTTACTTTTAAAACCATTTGCGATATAAAACCGAATGCTAAAGGTTGTGATGGAATAGGTATTAAACTTATTAAGCTTTGCTGTCCCTACATAGTGCCATACATTACTCATATAGTTAAGTTCATTTTGGAAATCCCAAATGCAAAGTGAAAAATTGAAAATATATTCCAATGTTTAAGGCTCGATTACAAAGAATAGACTCGTCTTACGAAAATTTACTAAGAGAGCTTTTTTGTGGGAAATTTAATTTCCTATAAGGATAAATTTTTTAAAATTGACCAAGTCCGAAATTTATGCAAAAACGCGACAACTGTTGAAAAATCAATAACTGCAACGATGCACCTCTTAATAATATTATTAAGGGCTCAAACTTTCAGGAAAATTTTTTTTTTGTTATGAATAATATTTTCATAGTTCCGCTAAAAAAAAAATTGTTTTACTTTTTTGGCCCAGTCTAATGTAGAATACATTTGTATATGTTTTACATTATTATTAACTGTTTGTGATTATGAAGTCTTGTACATAAACAATTTTAAAAAGGCTAAAAAATTTCATTTCACCTGTACCTAAGTATAAACAATCAAATTAAAATGAATAAATCAATGTTTAAAAAAAAAATAAGATTCTTAGCATTTGGTTTTTATTAATAAAAGTGTAAACTCCAAACGTCTAATCAAGCAATCTAAAATTTCATTTAATTACAAATAACCAATTATTGTTTTTTGTTTTCCCAATAAAACTACACCACTGGAAATTTTCTTTGTTTACAAACCGAGTCCTTGTCAAAACAAACAACCTGAAATTCCAAGATATGTTTGCAACATCGCTTAACATTGTTATGCTTCCTCTAGATATTTATCCTAGCTTTATGGTAGTGCTACATTAGATCCACAATAGATCTTTTACGACACAGTCTATCTATATACGGCCTATAACAACATATCATATTTATTGCATTTATTATTTTTCATTTATATATTATTTATATTATTCTTTTAGCTGTTTTTTGTGTAAGTTCACTTTTTTGTTTGCATAAGTTCTATAATCATTAACCAAATCTATCAAATTATATTTTATGTAATTTATCATTCATTCTGTTTCATTTCCATATTCACGTTGGCTCAATCATAAATTATATGTTGCATTGATCATTGATTAGTACCTTTTAGAATTATTACATCCATTTTTCAAGTAATATATGTTAATGTGAACAAAGAAACCCACTTTAAACCATATACAAAATAGCATGAAATATTGGTCAGAATTAAATAGTTCATTCTAATTTTTCTAAAGAAAATATTGCAGAATTACAGTTTAAAAATTGATAATGAATATAGTAGTTATACAATTCCTACTGACTTTCATATTACTGAATGCTGATTCTTTAAATATTTCAGTTAAAGGATATGAAAATGATGTTGAAACATGTACCAATACAATTTTAGAATCGTCTTTTAACCAGGAAGACATTATTATTCTTGTAAATACAAATATCCCAACTAAATATCCTGTGATACGTTACAGTACAATTTTTGAAATAAAAAAAATAATCACCAGAAAACAACCTGATTTATACATAATATCAGGACATACATCTCAAGCACTAGAAGTCCTATATTCTTCAGCATTACTGATTTCACAAAAGAAGTTTGTTATATTTGTAGACGAAATTAATAACAATTTTTTAGAAGTTCTAGATAAATACTTTATTTATAATGTCCTTATTGTCACAATAAATAATTATTCAATATTCAGTTTAAGGTATTCACCATCCGGAAAATTATACAGCGTACTACTAGGTTCTTGTTCCACAATAATATTTGAAAAAATATTATTTCACGGCTGTATCAGACCTTTTAATAATCTTAAAGTTGCATACGGTATTGCAGCTCCCTACGTAATCAGTAGTTCTCAAGGAATCCATATTGAATTGGTAAATATGGTGGCAGCATATTTAAAATTGAAGCTAGAATATCAAAGAGTGAAACCTCCTACGACTGTTTTAAAAGTTGCAAACGAATTTAAAACGCGATATTATGATATGTACATATCGAAAATAAGCAATAGGATGGTTGAGTATCTTGAAACTCAGAAGACTTTTGGCTTACTACAAGACAAATTAGTTTTTGTAACTCCACATCTGGTAAGAAACAACATATGGGTGATTTTTACCAATGAGTATAGCCACATTGTATGGTGGTATTTATGTGGACTATTTGTGCTTTTATATGCTTTGTTTTATTTTATATCGTATTTATTTGATGATAAAAATATTGGATCTATAATGTACATCCTTCTGAGTGTGCTTTTTGAAGGCAGTGCAACAATACGTACAAAAATAATATCCTTTAAGGTTTTATTTTTAAATTACCTCATCTTTGCTTTGATCATCACCACTGTCTACAGAAGCAAAATGTTCGATTTAATGAGAACTGATAATAATTTTCAACTTATAAGTTGTAGAGTGGATGTTTTAAAATCTTCATTAAAGATTGCTTTACCAGATCCGATACTCATTGAAATATATAAAGTTTCTACTGATCCAATTGAATTAGGTCTATCAAAAGCAGATTTCGGGTTGTGTTCACAGGATTACTTTGAATGTATTAACAAAACTGCTTTTGATAAAAATGTAATTACACTTAGCTTTTTTCAACAGTTGCAGTATTACGTTCCAATTTATTACCTTAATAAAGATGGTAAATCGATGCTGAATATTTTAGAACACGATTATCACGATTTAATATATTTGGTTATAGTTTTCCGATTGGGACATCCTATATTTACAGTTTTTAACAAGAAATTAATACAATTATATGAGGCCGGCTATGTGAAATACATTTCTGGTAAATTTGAAAGAAAATATAAGAAAGCAATGTACCTTGCTAAGGTGAAAAGGTCGTGGCAACCGTTGACTTTTAAAGTTTTTCAAACTACTTTTATTATGTACTTTTGCTGTGTAACATTTTGTTTTGTTGTATTGTGTATAGAATTTATTGTATCACTTGTATTTTAGCGAAAATAATAAAAATTTAAAAGTATTGTTTAATTTTATTTTATAAATTTTATAATAGATATACGGAGTGGCCCAAAAGTCTGAAAACGGCCAATTATCTCGTAAATTGCTAATCCTACTTGTACAAAATTTGGGGTACACCTATTTTGGGATACGGAGATTCCAGATTTATTATTTGCAATGTTGCCAGATTTGACTTTTCTCTTATATTATTAGTCACTTTGGTTTTTTAAATTCATCACCCTATATATTCAGTCATTAATAAAATCTCCTATTCAATACAAGTTCAACCATATGTAACACTTATGAGTTTATGTAGTCTGGAAGATCTTAAATAAATAAAACCATCATAGAGAAATGTGGTAGACGCATTCTACCATCAATTAGAGTACTGTCAACTCACAAATGGAGCACATTCTGAACACTTGATAAAGTAACCATTATGTTAAAAATGTTATAATCTTTCAATTTTTACGTTTTAATGTAGTTGAAAATAGTTTGTATTTACAAAATTATTGAGACAATTAGGTGTTGCCAGACTTATTTTATTTATTTAAGACCTTCCAGACTACATAAAATCATAAGTGTTACATATGGTTAAAGTGGTATTAAATAGGAGATACCAATATTGACTAAATTTACAGGGTGATGAATTTGAAAAACCAAAGTGACTAATAATTTAAGAGAAACGGCAAATCTGGCAACATTGCATATATCAAATCTGGAATCTCCGAATGTCAAAATAGGTGTATCCCAAATTTTGTACAATTAGGACTAGCAATTTACGAGATAATTGGCCGTTTCCAGACTTTTGGGCCACTCTGTATAAGGAACGATGTAAAATAATCGTAATGCTACAAAATCGAAATATTGTAACAACCAGGAAGGCTCGTCACCAATGTAACAACCAGCTAGCCTAAAGATCCATTTGTAGACCAGCCCTAGACGCAACTCTTTGTAAGTCATTTATATCTAAAACCTTGTATTACTGGTTGTGCTAAATATCATGTCTGACGGATATATTTCATATCCATTTTACCTAGTATGAACATTGCAAAAAAATTAAATCCACCCATCACAGTTCATATTTTGGCCACTCGGTTACAATTATTTTTTAAATTTTATGTGAGTGACAATTCTGTCAAACTAATTGTCAGTATATTTTTTAGTTATTATGATTAAATATACGTAAAAATGAGTTATTCTTGTGTAGAATCGATAAATAATAGCATTTCTTTTTAATTTGTCTACATTTACAAATAAATCCACCCATCACAGTTCATATTTTGGCCACTCGGTTACAATTATTTTTTAAATTTTATGTGAGTGACAATTCTGTCAAACTAATTGTCAGTATATTTTTTAGTTATTATGATTAAATATACGTAAAAATGAGTTATTCTTGTGTAGAATCGATAAATAATAGCATTTCTTTTTAATTTGTCTACATTTACAAATAAATCTTAAATTTTAATCGAACTACCTATATAAAAATAATTAAATTAAAAGTAGGTATTAATACCAAAATCGCAAGTGTGGCGATAGAGGTGAGGACACGGCGTTTGTCTTCTTCCACTCGAGAGGTTTGGGTTCAAATCTCAGATGGAGACTAATTAAATTAAATCTTTTTTTTTATTTTTATTTTATTTTTTAAATTACTTAAAATCATAAATTATTTTAAAATTAGTTATTTTGTCCTAAAAACATAAAATAGTTTTTTAAATTTGTAGATTTTCGTTAGTAGGTCGTAGAAAAAATATACTGTAGGTACACTTTGAGTGGATTGTCCATATCAACTCTTGTTGCACAAACTACTAAACTCGTTCTAGTTTGGCTTTCGCATAGTTATTATACCGTCTCGCAAACAAATGCATCTAGCGTTTGTGGACAAGGCATTGACTTTTAAATCAAAAGTCGTAAAAAAAATTTTGGATAAATTTTATCAAAAAAAATTGAAATTTTGAGTTTGTATGTATAAAAAATCGTAGATTTTAATTGTTTTTTTAAAAAGTTCATACTTGATTTTTTGCGAATGCCACCCCTCTATCTCCCTCTAGGGGATGGTGGTGGTAAGATTTTTATACAAAAATGTTGCATATCATTTATATTATAAATATGTCAAAAATAAGATGTTTATGTCGTCTGTAACTATTTTTAAATGCCAGCCCCCATATCCGAACTATGAAGATTAAAGTCGAAATTTTTTCTTAAAAAAAAAATTGGAAAATTTTTGGTTTTTATTTATAAAAAATCGTAAACTTCAACTGTTTTATTTAAAAAGTTCTAACTTAATTTTTTGGGGATGCCACCCTCATCATATCAGATAGTGGTGGGGAGGGGTAAATTTTTTAAAGCGATTTTTATTTTTATGGGTAATACATCTATATACCAAGTTTAGTTTCAATATTTCGACCCTAAATGCCCTAATGCCCTATCCCCCAGAGCCGAGCCCCAACCAATAATCCTTATAGAACCCATTGTGTTTACTTCAATATTAAGAATTCATTTATATTATTTACCAACCATATTAAGGGTTTTTTATTACATTGTTACGCACCAGATTAAAGAAATAACCTGTTGTTTATAATTACTTATGCTAATTACAGGTACCTTACCTACCTACCTATAGGTATATGTATTTGAATTAAAAATACAATTTTTTTCAACACTTAAGAAATGTATTATTATTACTATTATTAATATTATATAATTTATTTTAAATTAATTCGGATAAAACATGTAAAGGAAAAGAAAAACAAAAGCATATTTTCTATTTTATTAATTTCAAAACAGTTACAAATACACAAATATTTAATTCTAATTTTAAAACAATAATTAATAGTTAACTAATTTATATCATATTATATATTATTAAGAATGGAACATAGTACATCTGAAGATTATCTGATTAAAAATAAAACTATTTAAGGAAATATGCTTAGAAAAAAATACCCGTTTTCGAAATGCAGGGTGTTAAAGTTAAAAATAAAAAAATTATTATTGACTATAATATTTTTATTTTTCAGTATCATTTTACTGAATTCGTTAAACATTTTTGACACTTTCCAAAAACGAATTTAAACTATAATTTAATTTTTTTTATATAAATCATGTAGGTACTCTTGTTGGGAACTCGTCCTTTACTAACAGTAAAATAATTCAGTAATAAAACATAAACACAACTCATTCACAATACCTACTACCCGTAAACGCACAATAACAAACATTAGATAGAAAATAGTCTAAACAATAAATCACGAGTGAATAAAATTTTATCCAAGAGCTAAAAATAGAAATCCATCGATCGGTCCAGTCATTCACAAAAATTTCAGTTGGACCCTCAACTCCGCCCACTGCAAACGAATATCGACTTATCCATATTCACTAGCGCCATCTATTGGTAGTATCCATTTCGCTCCAATGAAACTTCCATAAGATGAGACTACTATTAGTTCTTTATACAATGATAATATCATCGATAAAGAAGGTAGACCGCGTATATTATTTGAAATTTTGGCTGCTATTTTATTTCTCAATTTTCTTCGTCATTATATCAATTTGAGGATTGATTTAAACGTAATTGTAATAGGTTTTTAATATACTATTTGCTTGTCTTCGTAAAAAAAATATATTGTTCAAACTTTTATTTAATTTTTTTTTTAAGTTGCAATATTGATATTAGCGTCAGCAACTGCTCTGATTTATTTAAAAAATGTCTACCAAATCTTAGGTCTTCATCTTTTAGTTTCAAATTCATTTGAAAATAAAATTGCCACCTTAATATTAATTGAAATCTAATATATTTTATAATTTGTGTTGTCTTTTCGACTTAAACATAAATAATTATCTATCACATTAATGATTGATTATTACCTTTTAGTATTATTACATATATTTTTCAATTATTACATGTTGATAGGAAAACAATATTTAATTTATTCCATATACAAAAAAGCATAAACTCTTCAAAATGAAATATTTCTTACTAGTTATCCGTGAGGAAATATTGCAGAATTATAAGTTAAAATAGTGATAATGAATAGAGAAATTATACAATTTGTACTGACTCTCATATTACTGAATGCTGATTCTTTAAATATTTCTGTAGAAAAATATAGAAATGAAGTTGAAATATGTACCAATACAATTTTAGAATCACATTTTATTCTCAACGATAGTATTATTCTTGTTAATACAAATATAAAAACTAAATATCCTGTGACATATTACTGTACGAATTTAAAAATAAAAAAGTTAATCAGCAGAAAAAAACCTGATTTATACATAATATCAGGACATACATCTCAAGCTCTAGAAGTCTTATATTCTTCAGTACTACTGATTTCTCAAGAAAAGTTTATTATATTTGTAGACGAAATTAATGAAGATTTTCTAAAAGTTCTAGATAAATACTTCATTTATAACGTCCTGATTGTAACAATAAACAATTATTCGGTATTCCGTTTAAGTTGTTCATCATCCGGAAAATTATACAGCGTTCTAATAGGTTCGTGTTCCAAATTATTTTTCGAAAAAAGAATATTTCAAGGCTGTATCAAACCTCTTAATAATCTTAAAGTGTTATATGCAGTTGCTCCTCCTTACGTCATCAGCAGTTCTACAGGAATCCAGATAGAGTTGGTAAATATGGTGGCTGCAAATTTGAAGTTGAAGCTGGAATATGAAAAGGTTAAACCTCCTACAACTGCTTTTATAATTGCAAAAGAATTTAAAACTCGAAATTATGACATGTACGTATCGAAAATAAGCGATAGGGTGGATGGCGATCTTGAAACTCAGAATACTTTTGGACTAGTACAAGATAAATTGGTTTTTATTGCTCCTAATCTGGTAAAGTACAACAGATGGGTGATTTTTACTGAGGAATATAGTCGCCTTGTATGGTGGGTTTTATGTGGATCATTTGTGCTTTTATATGCTTCATTTTATTTCATATCGTACTTATTTAAAGATAGAAATGTTGGATCTATATTATACAT